AGGGCCCCCAAATTTCTTAATTTAAGGCTGGGCCAATCATTGACTCATGACAACAACTGCACCAAACTCATTTCATGCTGAATATGGAATAATAGTTTAAGTGGAAGAAGTCGATGGAAAGCATGTGAACACTGATCATTAAGATACGAGAAAGGATGCTGTACGCATATGCACAAGTTTTAACAAAATTTAAAATGACAGTTTAATCTCATTAATTTTTCCTTCTTTTAGGTACTGCTTCACAACACAATCAAAGGGATTCCAATGCTAATATGCAGGCTGAGTTTCTGATTCAATAGAGGACAGACTGGACTTTGTATACTTGGTGCAAATTTCAAGAGGCTCAGGCTGTATTTTAGTTTTGTGGGCCTGGCTTTTTTAAGTATTGCTGGGATTGAATCTTCAAAGAAGTTCTTCAGAATAAAATCAGAATTATTCACATTTCAAGTGTGGGCCACGTGGCACAATTTGGAGCTAAGTCTGTGAGAAATCCCCAAATATGAGTCACATATGTGGGGAAGAATCTGGCCCACAGACCTCCTTTAATTAAATGCCTGTCTAATAACATATCGTCAATGGCATACAGATGCCTGTCAAAGGACCTGGAACAGTTCACTATAAGTTCCGGAACTCATTAAATGCATTTCTTCATGCTAAAAGAATTTCTTGCATTTTATTTTGTCCTGAAAAATAGCAACAAAAAAAATCAACCACAAAAGGGGTTACAGTGTGCATACTTTGAAATACCATCTCACAAAAGATATGGATGCAAGGGGGCCCTGGAGGAGGGCTAGTGGCTGGAAGATGTGTTTCCATAGATGGTATGTCTTCTATCCAAGGCCTTAAGGTATCCTATTTCATAGAGCAGCTATTACCTAAAGACCTGGGCTCCTTATTGATTCAGAAGCCCTCTGCACTAGCTATTGTCTTAGAAAAACAGACAGACAGGTCTTGGGAAACCCTTTGGAAACTGGAATGAATCCACAGGTCACCTATTCACACCCAACCCCACTGTTGGTCTTGCTGCACCCTTGGTTCAACTTTGTGCACACACATGTCCTTCTCTGCCACACCGTGAGGCTCCAGAGGCCACGTAAAGACCTAGGGAACCAGAGGCGCCCAAAAAGCAGAAGGTGGGAGGGTGTGGGCTTTCCCTGACCTCTGCACAGTGAGGGAATACGTCTCCTGTGCAAGGTGGCTCCGCCGGGCTCAAAAAATGCTTAAATGTACTTCCCGACCCATGCTTAGGATCTTTATTAGTGCAGAGCAAGCTCCCCCAGAGGCAATCAGTGAATATTCTCAGCACTTTAGGCTATGTGGCTTTTGAACAAACCATACCCCTTCTCCGTTAAGCACCATTAATCACATCAGGATTGCTGCTTTCATAAACACCGGCCCAGAAGCAGAAATTGAGTCGCTTGGCTGGTACAAAACCAACCAGAGAAAAACTTGATGAGCAACCCTAAAAGGGGAACGTCTGTCAATACAGAACTGAGTACACTACCACTGATCAGCTGTTTTTAAAACACTTCAGATAAAAAACAAACAAAATCACTCCTTTAAGCAAAAAGCAAAACAAAATAATTACTGGAGCATGTTTTGCTTTGGAGGTTTACATTTGCTGATTCACATTGTATGCTGGGTAAGTTAATACCCACTGCTCATTCATACTTCATCATCAGGCTGCTGTGTAATTAGAGGTAAAAAGAAAACTCATTTGAACAAATCACCTTCACAAATAAACCACAGGATTCCAAATGTGACTCTGCTTAACTCACACTTGACTAAATTTTTATACAGCAAATCAACATCTTTTTCTAAGTCCAAAACAGAATACGCAAAAACACATTATAAGTGCAAAAACCCCACAACAGAAAAAGCAGTTCTTCCTATGTATTTCGGACTGTAACTGCCTAAGTCTACATGATCCCTGGTCTCCACATCTGATTTTAATTAATCTGATCAAGATTCTCCAAAATTAAAGTACTGAATCAAAAAGGTCCTACTGCACCAAGAGGTCACACAGACCAGAGCTGAAGGGCTAGAGGCCAAGGTTCTAGTTTAGCTTCGTCATGCAGTAGTTGTAGGACTATGTGAAGTCCCTCGACTTCAACAGAACAAGGTCTGTCATCCACAAAATGAAGGTTTCCCCTAGATAATCTCTAAGATCCCTTCTAGTTTTAAAGTTCTGTGACTGTTAAATATATAAATCTAAAGCGAGACTACTTCAATGAACATCTTTCAAACTATCCAATAATCAGTTTGATTCATCAATCATGCACTGAATCAAATGATTAGGAAAACAAACAAAAAAAGGTCTGTATAAAAATGGATTACGTTTTCAGCATCTTCAAAACCAACTTGTCAACATTCATGTGGACAGATGATCATTTGTGAGCCACGAGGTCAGTTAATATATCTATTTGTTATATACGGCTGCCAAATTCTACCCTGCTTCCTAAGCACGTGTAGCTCTTCCCTTGTCATCATGCCACCCGGATGAGTTTAGTAAGGCAGTTGGCATAGTGGCACGCCAGGGATGTATCATTGTTAAAATTCTTTTCGATAATCTGGTAGTTACTTAGGATCTAAAAATTTGATTCTACAATTCATCTTTTTAAAAAAAGTATTACAGACTGCAAAATACCAAATAACAGGCATTAATTAATCAAAGTATTTCACTGGTGATGCTTTCCTTACTCTGCAAGCAAGCCAGAAATTTACCTATCAGTTTCAACATGTTCCACCAGATTCTAGAAGGCAACTGTGTCAGGGTGAGGAGTGACCCTGACTGCCCAGCAGAACCATCTGGGGAACCCAAGTGGCACCCCAGACCAATGAGATAAAAATGTCTGGGGTCAGAGCCTAGGCATCACTGATGTTTAAAATGTCCCAGGTGATTCCCTTGTGCAGCTGGGGCTGAGAAACAAGCAAGTTAAAACCAGGCTCTTTGATCTAAGATGCAGGAATGCTGAGTGAAAGGCACTGACAGAGGTGGTCAAGATTTAAAAAGAAATCAAACCTCTCACTACATACACTTTTTTCCTGCACATAGAAACTTCTAGAAGTCCCTGTTCCCAAGAGAAGACACTGTTCACCCAAGTGTGAACATTAAGAATGTACATAATAACCAGCCAAGGAGCAGCAATACTGGGAAACGGTCCTTCTCTCTGCTGCGCATGATTCAAAGGCAGGCCTTTAGTTTGCCAGCCTGGTAATAACAGCGTCTATAACGAGGTCTGACTTTCCCCTGCATCATCACTCAATAGCATTTCTGTGTTTCAATTAGATATTCTGACAGCCAGAGTTATAGCTTCTTAAAACATAGCTAACAATTTGACCGACTGATGCAAATCCCAACCAAACCAGCAATCCCTTATAAACTAATTCTACCTGACATCCTTTACATCATTTCATATAAAGTCTGGAAAAAAGAAAGACTATTCTCCCTATTAAAATGTTCATTATTCTTGACAAAGATTTCACCAACACTTAATCTCAACCAGCAATCAACTTACAAACGGTCTTGAATTATGTCAATCCCTCACTTTATGAAGCTCCGAAAAGCAGCACCTCCTCTTAAAGAAGGGGGAAAAAGTAAAACCAACACCGTTCCTGGGATCTCAATGATACTTCAGTCTAAACATTCAATCAATAGGAGCGTGATCTGCACACAAACTCAATACACACAAGATTTCCACATAAATACAACACCCTATACATATGATCAGATTCATAAAAACGTCTTTCTTCCTTGCCTTAATCAGAAAGATAAACAAGCTCCTGGTAACTTGTCATTGTGTCTTACTGTTTATCTTGTCCACCTCTTTTTTTTGGAAAGCAAGCCCACTGTGTGAAGTTTCCTTTTTCTTAAAGATTTTAGAGTCAGGCATACCCTATCCAAACACGGCGGTCCAAAACTTCCTCTAGCAAACGTTGATTAATGATTAGTCACTAGGACAGATCATCTCCACTGGAAGCCTGGACTCATGACTCCAGGTTCCCAATACTTGAAGCCTGGCCCTCCTACTCATTCTCCTCTTCCTCCTCACTCATGTGCAGGCCACCCAAGTGCTTCTGACTTCTGAGCATGGAAGGGGAGCCCAGCACTGCTGGGTTGCCAAACGTGAGTGGCTGGCTCAGAGGGGTCCCCATTTCAGAGTCTGAATCACTGGATTCAGTCCCGCTGCTGGTGGAGCCCTCGGTCAAGTGCAGGGGCGCCCGCTGGTCCGCCATGCCCCCCGCACACGCTGACCGCATGGCAGGGGTCTTTGAGGTGGGACCCACGAGAGGTGCACCATTAGCCAGCATTCTACCTCCTGAAGCGGCCTGGCTGGTCAGTCCTCCCTTTTCGTGGCCATCAAGCCCACCCAATGCCTCTGGGGTTGACGCTACCTGGCTAAGGATGAGTGGGTCTGTCTCCGACTTATTGTATCTACTGGGGAGATTCCGTAAGTATGGCCTTTGTAAGACGAAGGAAGAGCTTTCGTAATGAGGACCCTGCCTTGGGAGAGGATCTTCTCCCACACTTTCCTCTCTCGGGTCATGCCCGTTTTCCGAGACATAGCCTTGAGACCCGGTCCTGTCCCAACTCATATTTGGACTCGACTGTCTGCTAACAGGAGACAGTGGGGTGGCCGGGGTACTGTGGCCGTCTGAGCCCCTGAACAGCTCGTCTATCAGGGAGCTGTGTCTTGGGAGTCGGGGGCTCCCACTCATATCAAAAGTTAGGTCTGCGGAATCATCATCAAGGAACTCTCTGGAAGGAGGCCGGGAGGACTTCACAGAGGGAGGGGAAGCCCTGCGCCTAGCCTCGGTCTGCCTCTCATCCCTGGAGAGCAGGTAAACCCCACTGGTCAAATCACCCTCATAATTGTCATTTGTTTGGGACTGTGACTGGGACGCTTGCTCCCTGAGCAGGTCGGATTCACTATCTACGTCACTGCAGTCAATGAAAGGAATGGAAGTGCTGCTGCCTCTGGCAGCCCTGGATGCTGGACCTGTGCTCGGCTGCGGGGGCTGAGCTTTACTCTGCTGGGTCCTATCCTGAGCGGCCTCCTCCTCTTCGTCGGCCGGCGCCCGCGCGGCTCCGTCCGCCTTCCCGCCGCCCGCGGGGCTCTGGGGCAGCGCGGGGCTCTGGCGCGGCTCTTCGGCCAAGACGCCGGGCTCCTCTCCCTGCTGGCCGCCCGGGCCGCCGGCGGGCTCCGGGCCTTCTCCGGCGGGAAGGCCGGCACTCTGCTGCGCCTGCGCGGGGCGGGGCGAGAGAGAGGGAGGGTTACACGGGGGCTGAAAGCGGGGAGGGCGAGGTCAGAGGCTAATTTAGTAACACCCCTTAAGCTTCAAGCAGCCGGAAGGACTGCCAAGTAAGGCTGCCCTCCACGCTGCTCAAACAAAACATCGCCCATGAGCAGGCGCTCCCGAGTGAATTTGGTCAGCATCCAGAAAGTTGTCTCTGCGTGTGGATGCTGACGATGCAGGGTCTCCTGCAGCACGAGTGGGCCACTGCCTGTCTGCTCTCTAGGGCCCCTGGGCTCACACTGGGTTTCCAAAGTTTCCGTGGAACAAGAGAATCCTTGCAACCCACAGGGGGCTTCCCAAGAAAGGGTGAGCGGGGAGAGGAAGAAAACACATGGTGGGACCCCGGCCCCCAAAGGCAAGTTGACATGGATTTCAGACAAATGACAAAAACTTTGTTTATACTTCTAAGAGAAGAACAGCCAGGTTAGGCACTCTTTTTAGATGCATAAAGGAAATCTTCATGTTCTTCCCCGACAAAGTTGGCATTCTCTTATAGAGAAAACCCGGAAAACACATCCAGAGGCCAATTCCAGAGAAAATGAGTTTTCACCATCCTCAGGGCAAGAGTGATAATGTCTCTTGTTGCCAATTGTGGTCACTGCCCTGTAACAGGAGTCCTGGGAACTCACCACCCAGTCTGGTACCAACAAAGGGTTCTGACCTTGGCCCCGAATGGGAGCTACACCCAGCAGGTACAAAGGAGGTCCCAGTGTCTTCATACAACCACACCCATTTAGCTGGAGGGTGGGCTCCGCTCTACTGGCTCCTGTGGGTGGTTCCACTCCTAAGCTGAGTTCAGGCCAACAGAGCAAACTTCTCTGTGGCAAAAGCATGGGATGGAAGACAGGAAGTCAGCTGAAAAAGGACCCACTCCAGGGCACGCTGAGTCCAGGCTGGGGTGCACAGAGCCTGCGTCTGCTCAAAGCCAGGGCACACAACTATACTCTTCTCTACAAAAAGAAACCCCAAAGGTGAAGGGCAAATAACTCAGAAACATACTATGAAACATAGTACTTAACAGAGAAAGTTTGGTGAAACAAAACAAAAAACTGGGGGGGCCCAGTTACAATAGTTGATTGGCATTACTGACTTGTTTTGGCACTTCTGAATTCGGCTCTGTAGGCTGTGTAGCCAGGCTTCTGATGGACTGAATCTTGCTGTGCTTCCTGGGAGAAATCACATAAGATAGCCAGTTAGATAAGCTGGGTTTTTTTCTTGTTGTTGTTGTTTTAAATGAAAAATAGCAACAGCCTTATGCCCTTCTTCAATATGAAGGCACCTAAAGTAGTGTGTATGGATGCCCCATGAAAAGGGAGTCATTCTTTTCCTAATACTTGTAGGGTTCAGGGGTTAAACTCTGAAAAAATTCCCAGCAATCCCATGCTCAGGTTCAAGGAACCCCAGCCACTGTTCACTACTTTTCTAGTCCTAGAAAGGTCAATGGGAGGGAGAGTCGGCCGGGCCCGAGGATGTCCTGAAGTGCAAGTTCTGGTCTGACAATATTATCAATTCATGTATTTTGGGTAATGATTTTCTAGATCAGTTCTGTAATAGAGGCAATGACCACTAATCAGCTAACTCTTTCACAGTGTTGAGTTCAGGGAAGGCCCGCCCCCATTAATGAATTTACAGTCTCAGCAGAAGGAACTGGATTTAATGCCACTAGCACATCTCCTTTATCTTTTCCCTTCCTTAGTCTGCCGGTGCCCTCCTCTTCCTCCATGAACAAGCATTAAAACTTTTCAGCTACCAGACAATAAAACTGTATAAATACAGAGAGATCAAATACTAATGTACATTCAGCTTTTCTTCAAAATACTCCAAATACACAAGGACGGTCACAGCATCAGGTTTCGGCGAAAGTAAAACAAAGCACCGAGCACCCCGAATGTTTGTCAACAGAGAATCAGATAAATAAAATGTAGTACTTTCACAATACCCTAAAACGCCAATACAGAGCCCCAGATCAGGGGAGGGCTTAAAAAGCAAGATGCAGAATTAGGTACAATGCGCTACTAGTTAAACAAATGAAACAGCACACCGCAGAGAAATCCTGCACATTCTTTTTAGATGCATAAATATGTGTAACAGGAGTAACACAAAGCTGATGGTTGTCGCCTCTGAAGGGGAGAAGGGTTGTTGCGGGGGGGGGGATGTAGCTACATCTGTCACAACAGTAGTTACACACAAAAAGGGGAAAAAACCCAGGAACAGAAAGAAATGTGGATGTTTGCTGTGTTCTCCATACTTTAAGATGGACTAAAATGTAAAAAAGAAAAATGTTAAAAAGAAATCCAGGGGCGCCTAGGTGGCTCAGTCGTTAAGCGTCTGCCTTCGGCTCAGGTCATGGTCCCAGGGTCCTGGGATCAAG